ACCCAGAGTGCCGAATGGCGTATCAGCATCTATGGAAGATCGATTGGCGAATGGGACAAACTTGCGAAATGGATCGTTAACAACAAACTATTTTCTCATAATGTTCGATGGCTAATCCAAGTTCCACGCCTTTACGACGTGTACAAAGCGAACGGATCAGTCGAGACTTTTGAGGATATCGTGATTAGTGAGCACCAAGCCCACTAAGGCCGTCCGACGTCTTGATCTTTTTCGTCATTCAGATGTTTTCCGTCCTCTGTTCGAAGTGACCAAGGATCCTACGACACATCCGGAACTCCACGTCTTTTTGCAGCGTGTAATAGGATTTGACACCGTCGATGACGAATCGAAAGTTGAACGTCGTATCCACAAAAAATTCCCGTATCCAAGATTGTGGGATAGCAAGAGTTCGCCTCCATATTCCTATTGGTAAGAGTAAATGGCCTTTTTCAACGGCCTTGCTTATGCTGTTTATGAACCTTTAGGATTTATTATATGTTTGCTAACATGGCCAGCCTTAATAAATGGCGTCGGATGAGGGGATTTAGTGCGCTACAAATGCTATTTGGGGAGACGTAAAATACTTATTATTATTTCCTTAGGCACATTTGTCTTTCGCCCTCATTGTGGTGAAGCCGGTGACACGGACCATCTAACATCCGCATTTTTGACTTCGCATTCCATATCTCACGGAATTCTTCTACGCAAAGTCCCGGCCCTGCAGTATCTCTTTTATTTGAAACAAATTGGTATTGCTATGAGCCCTCTTAGCAATAACGCTCTCTTCCTGACGTACGAGCGTAACCCATTGCCGGATTTCTTCCAAACGGGTTTAAATGTTAGTTTGAGCACTGATGATCCTTTACAATTCCACTTTACAAAGGTAGGTCAAATTTTGTATTACCGGCATACTCAAATTAACCTTTCTCTCATACAGGAACCTCTCCTGGAAGAATATAGCGTCGCAGCCCACGTAGGAACCCCATAAATTAATTGTGGGACATAATACAGACTTTTTCTATAGATCTACAAATTACCACAGAGTTCATTGGCAGAGCTCGCTAGGAACTCAGTCAAACAGAGCGGATTTGAGATGGAGATCAAACGGCATTGGCTAGGCCACCAATGGTACCTCCCAGGGTCAGCCGGGAACGACATCAACAAGGTGACTTTTTGGGTTTAGTAGAATGCTCGTTCGTATCTGACATTCCATCGCAGACGAACGTTCCGAACATTCGCTTAGCTTACCGACACCAAACTCTTGTTGGAGAGCTCGATATGATTCGGGGAAAAAATATGGGTCCCGGTACGACCCCTGAATTGCCCCATTCTCTTCTACCGACCACCGATGCGGTCGCGGCGCGTGCGATGGCAAAACATTCCTAACTTGCCACGATCTAGAAATTCAAGCGTAAAACGCTGTGATTGTCGCTTTTAACGTTTGTAGAATATAAAATCGTAAACTGTAACTGTATAATAATAAGAGAAGAGGAGCTGGTGATATGCAGAGATATTTTGTGAAGCTTCCCGTTGTGGCTGGCGATAAATCCGAGTCGTGTCCAAAGATCGATCACGAACCCCATGTTTGCGTTTGTTGAATCTAAAGCCTTTCGAAAGAAAATTATTGATTCCAAGTTGTGCATTTGAATTGAAATCGAAAAGACTACCAGCTTTTTTGGTGCCTTCACTGACACTATGCCGCCCACCCTCAAGGCATCCAAATCTTCCAAGGAAAAGGGGACAACAGCAAAAACCCCAAAGAAAACAACAAAAGTGACACATCCAGAGCCGGTTGATCCATCCTCTGAATCAGAAGATAGTGAGGGCGATGGTGTCGACGAAGAGGGAATGACGAGATTGATGAAGGCTCTGGGAGACGACGGGATGGACGAGTTTGATCGGGTACAGTTGAATCTTGCTTTAGGTGAAGAGGAGGATTGGTCAACAGATGAAGAGGGTGAGGATGGGGGAAGTGACGCGGAAAGTGTCAATGCAGAAGGTGAAGACGATGGCGAGAGTCAAGATGAGGAGGATAATGGAGGTGAAGAAGAAGAAGAGGAGGAAGAGGAAGAAGAGGAAGGTGACGTTGATGAAGACGGTGAGGAGCCTGAGGAGGGGGACGTCGCACTGGACGATGTTGATTCTGTGGATGAGGACGCAGTACCTCGTCAAAAAATTGAGATCGATAACAAAGTATGTGTTTTTCGAATGAACGTTAGGATGAGTTTTGACAAGGTGTGTTAGATTGCTCTTGAGCGAATTAGAGAAACCATTCAACTTGATCCATCGTTCCCTTGGACTGAAACCTTGGTCCTGTCATACCCCAATACGATAGATGTAGATGTTAACGATGACCTCAATCGCGAGCTGGCTTTGTATGTAATGAAATTCAACTTTTATGCTCGATCTCACATTATGCTATTCAGTTATAAACAGGCTCTGCACGGCGCGAATGCAGCGCGTGCTCTAGCTGCCAAACATAACTTCCCATTTACACGACCTTCTGACTACTTTGCTGAGATGGTGAAATCTGACTCACATATGGAACGGATACGACAGCGCCTACTAGATGAGGCCGCCGGAATCAAAAAGAGTGAGGATAAGAGGAAGGAGAGGGAAGGGAAGAAGTTCGGGAAGCAAGTGCAGGTTGAGAAGCTGAAGGAACGAGAAAAGTCGAAAAAAGACATGGAAGAGAGACTCAAGGGTTTGAAACGCAGTCAGTGTCTTTCATTTCTTGTATCATGATGTGGTCTAATCTTCCCGGTAGAACGAAAAGATGTATTGGATAACCCACAGGCCGACGATGACGCGTTTGATATCGCGGTAGAGGATGCCATCTCCGAACGTCCCGCCAAACGTGGCAGAGGTGCAGGTGGGGGACGGGGAGGGAGCAGGGGAGTCACTCGTCAATCCCGCGATCAGAAGTATGGCTTTGGGGGAGTCGGGAGAAGATCAAAATCGAATACAAAAGACTCGACGGACGATTTCGGCTCTGGTTCTAGAGGTGGGAGAGGAGGTGGTAGAGGAGGTGGACGGGGTGGCGGTAGAGGGGGGCGTGGTGGGTTCGGAGGTGGTGCGGGCGGTAGGGGCGGTGGGAGGGGTGCTACCAAGCGATTGGGCAAAGGACGACGGATCGCTGCACGCAGTAAGGCTTAATCAGTTTGTCTTGCATCTATCTACGTCTTGCATCTATCTACGCCTTTCTCTGTTACTGGGCTCTATCCTGCATTTCGACATATCCAGCAATTTTTTTGCTCTAAGTCTATGGACCACTTCGAGGCCCCACGCACAGATCCAGGGTTCATCATGAGAAGATCATCTGTTTCATGACACCATGATGTATGATGCTTATAGTGGTTGTGGTTGAACTGAGATGAGGACAGTGCAATGATTGACCTAGATGTCTTGTTTGAATCTAGACGACAAGTTCTTTATGAATTCTGTTTTTTCATACCACGCAACAAGGGTTCCTTTGAATTGTTTATATTTGAAAGTGAGGTCTGAATGTTTTGGACTCGATCACGAATTCCACGAATAGCGTCCCTGTGTAATTAGGCGTGAGTACACATCATGACTTGCTCGGTAGCCTCATTTTAGTTCGTCGGCGATCGAACCAACTTTGACTGAGGTGCTTCCACGTATTCGTCGACGCAACATCGGACAGAGACACTATCGATATTCCTCCGAAGCTGGCCCGAGAAAACAATAAATTCGTCGTTTCTCAGCGTCCAAATTACCTTTGAGGCCGCCAACCCATCCGACGTTAAGGGGCTCAGGCTCACCCCGGAGATTACAGTGACTCGAAATGTTCGGCGACCAGGGACAAGCTGCAGTGTTCTATAACAGTGAGGACTGATCTGTGCATGATGTGTTGCGCTTGATACTCACATCGTTCTCCAGTTGTGAGGAAGTGGTTCACTCTCACTTCGGTCGCGTGTTCCCCTTTACTTTTCGTCATAAATGCACCATTCGGCCGTTTTTCGCTCTCCAGCGATAGTCTCTTTCAAGTTGACGGTGAGAGAAGTGAAATGCATACACCATCCCCCCCTTTATTCACTTTGTGCAGGCATCAAGTCGTGGATAATCATGGAACTTGTATCCCCTATTTCATTCCTTTACGCCTTTTTCACCTCGCCCCTGTCCTACATGTTCCCAACCAACCCTCCTCTGAGTTCCCCCCAACTCATCCTTGCAGGAATCTTCCTCGTCCACTACACAAATCGCGCACTCATATCACCCCTACGCACACCCTCTCGCTCAAAATCACACATTATAGTTTTTCTTTCTGCTGTTTGCTTCAATGTTTTAAATGGAGCCATGATGGGCGCCTACCTCACCTCACCGTTCGCCCGTATCTTCCTGACGTCACCGTACACTTTCCGCAGGCCGACGTTCTACATCGGCCTCGCTCTCTGGGCAGTCGGGTTCGCGGGAAATATTCTGCATGATGAGATCCTCTTGGACATCCGGAGGAAGGCGAAGAATAAAGACAAGGGAGAAGTCAGTCAGAATGGAAAGGCCACATCTCCGAAACCCAAACAAGAGCACTACGGGATCCCCCAAGGCTGGCTCTACAAATACATATCGTACCCAAACTATTTCTGTGAATGGGTGGAATGGCTTGGTTTTGCTCTGGCCGCAGCACCATTACCTCTCGCTACATCTTCGCTCACTTTGGCTTCCCTATCTTCGTTCTTCACAGTGCAAAGCATATCCTCCCTCATATCCGACCCAGCGTATCTGTTCGCCCCAAACTTGGCACCACCATACATTTTCCTCATTTCCGAGGTTTTCCTTATGTTCCCTCGAGCATACAAAGGTCACCAGTGGTACAAAAAGAAGTTCGGAAAAGATTACCCAAAAGAGCGGAAAATTGTCATCCCCCATGTATTGTAATATTCAAGATGGAATGCGAGATCGAGCAAGCTCACCTCTACATCCAGGATTCCCTAAGTGTACATATACATGTCCAAAAATATGGACAGCAGTTGGGACAAAAATTCGGGTACGGGGAATCGAACCCCGAGCTGCCGCGGTCTGCTGTAAGATGAGAGGCGGCAATGTTAGCCGTTACACCATACCCGACGATGAAATGGTGCCCGCCCGCTGCTCTATCATGTGTGTTAGGGTGTGTTAGGAATAAACAAATTTTGTTATGAAACAAAACATTTTCCGGTACGGGGAATCGAACCCCGAGCTGCCGCGATGCAGTTAATTGGTGAAAGGCGGCAATGTTAGCCGTTACACCATACCGGATGTTAAAGAAGACTAAACAACTGAATATATAAAACCCGAGGGGTATATGGCTTCAACAATATCTCTTCGGACCTTTTTTTCTAAATCTTGAATGTGGACTCAATACACAGTCTTTCACACGATTCTCATAACTCTGCCTTCCGATTTGTATACCCATTCATTTTCTGGAATGTTGGAATAGTATGGTCAAGGCCCTCCTCTCCAATGGACCATTCTTAAACTTCAACAACTACTACTTCCGAGTCGCCGCTCTCCCAGCGCATCTTCTGCCCGAAGTCTCAAAATTTCGCGCGTTCTAACCTTCTTGGTCCCTCTTCCACGCGGATCCCGACATCATGTGTCCTCACGGAAGCGTTTAATGCCAATCGTTAGTGTGAGACGTGACGTTTCGTTAGGGTCCACTACCTATATTAACCATGGCGCATTGGCGAGAAGTTCCCATGCCCGCTATGTTTCCTCAGAAAAGCCTCTTTCAGGCAATTGTGGCCTTGAACTTACTTGGATCATGCTTGGGAGCTATTGTTGAACGTGTGGAGGACCTCCCAGGGCTCGATTATGATTTTATTATTATTGGAGGTGCGTACGTCGTTTGGTTCGAAGCCGAATTGTGGGTTGATTGTACCCAGGTGGTACTGCGGGTCTTGTTGTTGCAAATCGCCTCACAGAAATACCGACTATTTCTGTTCTTGTACTGGAGGCAGGAGGCTCGTGAGTGAAGTGTTTTATTTCTTTGACAAATATTTTGAAAACATCTCCATAGGAATGAAGGTGTCTTCAACTCGATGGTCCCGTTCTTCAATGGGAAACTGTTCCAAACAGACGCAGATTGGAATTATACCACGCTTCCCCAAGAAGGCTTAGGTGGAAGGAGTGGAGGCTATCCGGCAGGTCACATTCTTGGTGGAACGAGCTCTATGAGTACTCTACGTCATAATCTCACCGTGTCACTATTGACTCCTACTCGCAAAGATGGATTAGCGTATACTCGGGGCTCATCTGACGATTATGACCGATATGCACGGATAACAGGAGATTCTGGATGGTCCTGGAATAGTATCCAACCTTACCTTCGAAAGGTACTTCGGTTAAGGCTAAAGTTATCACAGGAGGAATCATGTTGACCATCGACTCTTGTGCAGAACGAAATCTGGACCCCACCCGCTGACCATCATGACACCCGGGGCGAGTTCAATCCTGCTGTGCATGGATTCCATGGTATCAACGCTGTTAGCTTGCCTGCCGTAACCTATCCTTTCGACCGGCGGGTCGTTCAAGCCACATCCGAACTCCCGGACGAATTTCCCTTTAACCTTGACATGAATTCTGGACACCATATCGGTATTGGTAAGAGCATTGTTTTCTCACCAGTCAACTCTAAATAATGTGGATGTGCGACTTTTAGGATGGACTCAATCCACGATTAAGGGCGGCGAAAGGAGTAGCTCTGCGACTTCTTATCTAGCGCCCAGGTTCGCTCAGCGAAAGAACCTTCACGTTCTAGTGCGTGCACGGGTTTCGCGTGTCGTCCAAACCGGTTCCAAACTTGGCATGCCCTTGTTCACATCTGTGGAATTTTCAAATGGACTGGGGGGTAAGTTAGATCCAATCTTCTCCTAACTTGGCTCTTATATGTCCACCTATAGATACGCTCAAACGTGTGACTGCCAGAAAAGAAGTTATTGTATCGTCAGGCGTTATAGGAACTCCCCACCTCCTCCTCAACTCCGGGTTCGGCGACTCTGCTACACTGTCTCGCATTGGGATAAAACCACTCGTACACTTGCCATCTGTAGGCCAAAATCTGACAGACCATGCTTTCGTCGCAAATACATGGCAGGTCAACTCGACAGACACGTTTGAATCGGCGATCCGCAACGCCACCCTTATGGAGGAGCAGCTCAAGCAGTGGAACGAGACGCGGATGGGACCGTATGCTGCAAGCACGTTCAACCTTGCTGGGTGGCTGCGTGTACCGGATGACTCGTCCATTTTTGATAAGGTCCCTGACCCGTCTGCTGGTCCACACACGGGTCATTTCGAGTTCATTATCGCGGTATGTCATCAAGGGTCCAAGTTTTCATCCGGTCCTTAACTCCTTCACAGAATGGGATGACGCGACTACCCGTCCCCCCAACTGGGAATTACATGGTTATTGGCACCGTTGTCATAACTCCCCTGTCACGTATGCTATTTCGTTCACTTTTTGGTCACCTTTTGCTGACGATTCGCTTAGGGGGTTCAGTCGAATTGGCCACAAACAATCCGTTTGATCTTCCCAAAATTAACCCCAACCTCATGGCTGCCGACCTGGACCTGCTACTCATGCGAGAAGCCATCCACAGTGTCCGGCGCTTTGCTAAGGCACCTGTTTGGAAAGATTATATCATTGCGGCTGTCGATACGGCTGAAACTGATGCTGAGCTGGAACAGTTCATTCGCAGCACCGCGCAGACTGTGTCCCATGCAGTGGGCACTTCCGCGATGTCGCCTCGAGGAGCTGGGTATGGGGTTGTCGATCCTGATCTTCGTGTCAAGAAGGTGGCCGGGCTACGCGTGGTGGACGCATCTGTCCTGGTGAGCACCTATCCCCCGTCCGAGACGATCGAGGCTAATGCAATCTTTTGAAGCCGTTGGTGCCTGCTGCTCATACCCAAGTAGCTACTTATGTTGTTGCTGAGAGAGCATCAGACTTAATCAAGGCCGCGTGGGGGCTATAGTTGCGCGATAGTGATGAAAAATATTGTGATGTGCCCGTGTGCCTTACAACATTATTCAAATATTTTTTCCCGTGCGATGTCATCTCGAACGCAATGGACGCCTGCTTGATCATCTCATCATTTCAGATACTCCAACTCGAACGAAGCGAACCTTTGAAGATCTCATTGTCAAATATGTGGCGTGGGTTTGTCCTCGCTGCATACTAGCATTTCAGGCACTTGACAGATCTAAGTGATGCAAACGAAAGATATCATCTCATACGCCAAAATATTTATGAAAACAACACCATACAATCCCCATAGGAACAGCATACAGAACACTGCGCTGGCTATCTCTGGCTCCTCAGCCTTAACGGTCCTTACGCGGGTGGGACTAAAAGCTCCAAAGAGCCCGTGTGTGCAATCCAACTGAGATGCCCTTCAACCATACATGATCTATGGGCAGGTTGATGACTCGATCCGCGTCAATGATGTATTATAACGACCTCACTACTGGAACCACTGCCAATAAAATTACTGGAAAACCCAAACTACATATAACTACGATGTTGGAGGACAAAGACTTTTGTCCCTTCCTCTTTCCACTTCGTATAATTTGTGGTTTACGGTGGAAACTGCTCCACATATACACTAAAACTCATGACTAGTGCCACACCAGCTGATGATATTCTGAAAGCCTTTTCCGAACTTCAACTCAGTACCGTGAGTTGAATACCCAGTGGTTTTCTCGAGTTTGTACTTATTTTTTTCAAGTATATCTTCAGTCCGTATTCCATTTTATGTGAAAGCCCGCCATTCATGTACTTGTTTTCAGTGTCGGGTACAGCTTTTCTGGCACGAACCCTATTTTACATGACTTTTTTTTTTACATCTGACCCGGGAATTGTTTATTCATGATAGGTCACTGACTGGTTTTTTACATTGGACCTTGAAGTACAGTACGCCTGGAATGGCACCTGGAACATCGGAAGAATCCTATTCTTTCTTACAAGGTACTCACCCTTCTTTGAGCTTGCGCTTAGAATGTATTGTAAGTGAGTCTTCTGCCGGTGAACATTATTTTAACAACACAATGGCACGCCTAGACGAAGTGGTATATTCTATACCAGTGTCACTGTGTTCCCAATTATACATCATTTCTGCGTGTGGGCACTTATCTCCCATCGAGGTTTCAAACACACTGACCTATGTTTTGTAGCCATGAGCTTGTTCGGAATCATAGTTGCTGAACGTACGGTTACTCCCACCTCAACCCGTTTCATTACGTTCGTTCATACACACCTAACAGTGATTCTGGTCACCCGAGTATGGGCCTTATGGGAAAGGCGCAAAGACATCGGAACCCTTCTCGCGTTCGTTAGTATAGCAGATGCTTCAGCTGCTATTTTGACCTACGCGCTCTACGCACCATCCTACTCGTGTAAGATCTTGTTACGAAGCCTTTCGGAATCATCTGAGCAATCGCCTTTGAACCAGTTACACCCATGGACGCTTTATCTCCCACTACTGCTGGCTGTTTTCTTGTCAGTAGTGATGCGACAACCAACTGGGCTTACGTTGCTCTCCTCATACAACAGACGGGTGGGTAATTAGTTTGGTATCTTCATAGGCAATAAAATACGAACTTATTAGGAAGTCATCTTTACGCTTACTGCGGTCAAAGGCGTTCAGCACTGTGCGTAGTGAATTGTCGGATATTTGACATAGTTATTTACCGCCATTGCTCTAGATATGACAGGCGGATTTGGTACATCGCTAATTAAAACTCTTTACCAAGACGGTATGCAGCTATTCTCCCAGCCTAAAGTTGTATGGGATGCTTATCTGCAAACAGGGTTAATATATTATGTGATATTAATTAGTGAGATTGAGACACAATTCTGATCACGAAGCTGCACACTAACACGTTTATGGCTCAAGTTCCATCAATTGTAACACTCTCTGTAACTTTTCCAACGACTGTTAGTTTTGTGTTTGGCGCTTCACTGGCCTTCTCTGGCACTGACAACATACTCTTTAATACAGAATGCGTCATCAACTGGGTTTCTCTTGACGTATGTCCCCATTTCGAATCCCCCGCAACCAGATCTGATGAAATTACAGCCTGCAACG